GAGATGAGCGATTAAGTGAGATGAGTGAGTGTGAGAGAAAGGGTGGGATTTGGGGGGAGGGAAAGAGAGAGGAGAGGTAAGAGTAGAGAAAGACATTGAGAAAATGGTGGAGGAGTTATTTAGGTTTTAAAATTGTATCACTTTCCGCAATGAAAAATATTGATCGTGCAAAGTTTTGTGCGACGAAAAATATCGGAACATTGGTCAAGCAAAGTTTTGCGAGACGAAAAATATTGGATTATTGGTCGCGCAAAGTTTTGCGTGACGAAAAATATTGGTCGTGCAAAGTCTAAAATCCCATGTCCTATTTTTGGTACCCGCCCAAATTTTTAAAGTTTTCCGCAACGAAAAATATTGGAATATTGGTCAGGCAAAGTTTTGCGCAACGAAAAATATTGGATTATTGGTCGCGAAAAGTTTTGCGCGACGAAAAATATTGGTCACGTAAAGTCTAAAAAAAATTTTTTTTTAAATTTTCCAACGTCCCATTTTTGGTACCCACCCAAATTTTTAAAGTTTTGCGTGACGAAAAATATTGGTCGCACAAAGTCTAAAAACAATAATAATAAAATATATATTCTTGCATCCCATTTTTGGTACCCGCCCACATTTTTAAAGTGTTGTGCGATGAAAAATATTGGATTATTGGTTGCGCAAGGTCTAAAAAAATTTTAAAAAAATAAAAAATCATGCGTCCCATTTTTGAACCCGCCCAAATTTTTAGAGTTTTGCGCAAACTTTTGAGAGATGAAAAATTGGTTCGTAGCACAATATTTATAAAAATAATTGTTATGAATAATAAAAAATAATTTTATTTGATTTTACAATTTAAAATATAAATAAGGTTAAAGCTACTTAATAAATATATATACTATTCAATTTCTTAAGTGTTATACGTACAAAATAAATAAATTTAAAGCTACTTAATAAATAAATAAGTATATATGTATACACACACACATACCATTCAACGATCCAACCTTCAAACTTGTTTGTATATACTTCAAGATTGTATACCCGAAAATCGCAAAAACAAACATTCAGAGATCTAGTAACGGGACAAAACTTTTTGATGGTTATAAATGAAAAATCACGATTTAACGGTTATTTTAACTCCGATTTTGATGATTTTTTTACTGCTACACTCCTTGACCCTATATGAATACAATGACTGAATTTAATCTTCATTTAAAATATTTACACTAGTGGATACCACAAAATCTTATGTTATATTTAACGAAAGTATAAATAAACTCTTAATTGTTAGTGAATATATTGTTTTGATGCCATACGCATTCTACGAAACTAGTTTCAACGATCAAACTGTCAAATTTGTTTGTTTATACTTCGAAATCATATACGCCAAAAATCGGAAACAATAAACATTCAGAGATCAAGTAACGAGACAAAACTTTTCGACGGTTATAAATGAAAAATCACGATTTAACGGTTATTTTAACTCCGATTTTGATGATTTTTTTTATAGCTACACTCCTTGACCCTATATGAATACAATGACTGAATTTGATCTTCAATTTAAAATATTTACGCTAGTGAATACCACAAAATCTTATGTTATATTTAACGAAAGTATAAATAAACTCTTAATTGTTTGTGAATATATTGTTTTGATGGCATACGCATTCTATGAAACTAGTTTCAACGATCCAACCGTCAAACTTGTTTGTTTATACTTCGAGATCATATACGCCAAAAATCGAAAAAAATAAACATTCAGAGATCAAGTAATGGGAAAAAAACTTTTCGACGGTTATAAATGTAAAATCAAGCTTTAACAGTTATTTTAACTCCGATGTTGATGATTTTTTACAGCTACACTCCTTAATACAATGACTGAATTTGATCTTCAATTTAAATATTTACACTAGTGGATACCACAAAATCTTATGTTATATTTAACGAAAGTATAAATAAACTCTTAATTGTTAGTGAATATATTGTTTTAATGCCATATGCATTCAACAGAACTAGTTTCAACGATCCAACCGTCAAACTTGTTTTCTTATACTTCGAGATCATATACGCCAAAAATCGGAAAAAATAAACATTCATAGATCAAGTAATGGGACAAAACTTTTAGACGGTTATAAATGAAAAATCACGATTTAACGGTTATTTTAACTCCGATTTTGATGATTTTTTTTACAATTATACTCCTTGACCATATATGAATACAATGAACTAATGTGATCGTCAATTTAAAATATATATTTTCTAACAAAATCCCAATCCGAACTACAAAATATATTTTTCTAACAAAAATCCGATCCGAACTAAAATAATAAATTTAAAGCTACTTAATAAATATATATACCGTTTAATTTCTTAAGTGTTATGCGTACAAAATAAAAAAACAAAATAAATTGGTTTAAGTGAAGAAATTTTGGATTACGTCATGCAAAGATTTTAAAAAATAATTATTTTATTTTATATATTTTGTAAAGACTTGCACGATGAAACACACTTCGTTGCTCAAGACTTTGTGCAACGAAGTTTATTGTTTCGTTGTGCAAAGTCACTTTGAGCGACGATGTATTGTTGTCGCGCAAAGTGACTTTTCTCAACGAATTGTTTTTGGTCACGCAAGATTTTGAGCGACGAAGTTTTAAGTTTCGTCGCGCAAAGTGACTTTGAGCGACGATTAGTTTTTCGTCGCGCAAAATTTGGTCGGACAAGGGTTTTTTTTTACTAGTGATAAATCCAAACACTAAAAACTTCAATTGCTAGAAATTTAAATAATGGAAATTTAAATTCCATTATTTTAGAATTCTATGTAATTTTCAATTCCTTCATCCAAACGGAAGCTAAGGGATTTGATGAGCACATAATTATCATTATCCCTAAATTAATATTGTTAGTACTTTGATTTATTTTATTTGAGTTTATTATATCGCTTTTAAATATTGTCTATAGTTTGGAAATATATTTTTAAAATATGGTTATTTTAGGTTTTAGCAATTGCAATAAAGAAAGGAAATTGAGTGGTGCAACCAATAAAGTGAAGTAGCCAAGCATACAAAGAAGAAGTTATGGGATCCGCCAGCACGAGAGGATGAAGTGCACTACCAAAGAAAGAATTATCGAAGGAAGAATGTGGCTAACTGAATTGATTACATAGGTTGATGTGTATTCCAATAAAAGAGATGAAATTGCATAAACAAAAGAAATTGGATGAGATTCGCCAGCACTAGATGAACAAAATAAATGAAGGAATTATTGATTGGCTTGGCGACAATTCCAACTTCATTTGAATAAGGCTAAAAGTCACTTTTGGTCCCTCTAGTTTGGCACTTCAATCACTTTTGACCCTATAGTTTCAATTTCGTCAATTTTAACCATGTAGTTTTGTATTTGTAGCAATTCAAGGACAAGTTAGTATTCATGTCAATTTCTTTGACGATGTAAGGGGCAATTTCGTCAACACAAAATCCTTGAGCATAAAGCTCGTCTGAAACTCCCCTAATTTCTTGAAATTGGTCATTTGGGTTTATGGTTCTTCAAAAATTGGGATTAGTGGTTGAATTTCGAGCCCTTATATGAAATGGGGAGAATTTCAAACAAGTTTTTACGAACAAGGGTTTTGGGTTGACGAAATTGCCCCTTACATCATTAAAGAAATTGACAAGAATACTAACATGTCATTGAATTGCTACAAATACGAAACTACAATGGCAAAATTGACAGAATTGAAATTACAGGTCAAAAGTGGTTGAAGTGCCAAACTTCAGGGACCAAAAGTGACTTTTAGCCTTATTCAAATGAAGTTGGAATTGTCCATGAGGTGCTGCTATGATTCTCCTATAAATTGATGTTGCGGCATAGTTCAAAAACACACCAGAACTCACAATCTTCTCTTGAGCTCTCTCGTCTTCCTCCTCTCTAAATTTCTGTTTTAGTTTTATTTTATGGGGAACTAACTCCCTAGCTAAGGCTAGGGAGAAAGCTTTTAATATGAGTGTGTAATTTTTATTAGTTTGACCCAAACTTAAGCTTTAATGTGAATTTTTAGTTTTTTTAAAAAAAATTAATTGATGAGTGTTTGATAATCTATTTCATGGGCTCAATCATGTTTTTCCCATGGTGTAGTAAAAACTTTCATGCTTTTAAAAAATGAGAGAATTACTAAGATTATTAGAATTTTGATGAAAATTATTTTTTGATAGTTTGTTGCTAATGGTTCAAGTTATGCTTAGAATACTTCTAGAGGAAATTAAAAGCTTATGTTAAAAGTAGAACCCCAATAGTGTTTTAATCAATTGAATTTTCTTTAAATCAAATCTTGTTTAAATTTACTTATCTATCTCAATTATTCTTTTTTAGCTCTATTATTTTCTTTACATCAATTCCGACACTCGAACTTCCAAGCTACACTGCTATACGACACCTCCCCTTGAGTTTTGCAAGCCGTCAATCAGGATTAAAGAAGCATCAAACCTACAAGTGGACTGGATTGTCACAAGAAAATCCCATTTGATTGAATCATGTTGGTTTTTGAATTTAGAGATCCAAATCAATTTACCAAAACCATCGACCTTATGATCAAATTGAATTAAATTAGATCTGATCAATCGATTGGGTTGGTTTGGTTGGATTGGATCGAATCTTAAACACCGCTAGATTGTGTGTTGTAGCACCATGACACCGTGGTCTTCATATTCAGGCTCCTCGCATGAGGATGTGTGACGCTACAATTTATGGTAGACAAAGCTTGATGCATTTCTTGTGATTAAGTTCACAGATCATGTAAAGGTGGCTTATTATTTACCCAAACATGCTCATTATTTACCTTCTAGGGGCAAGCAACAGATAGGAAACAAAGAAAAAGTAATCTTAACAGATAGGAAACATGCTCATTATTTACCTTCTAGGGGCAAGCAACAGATAGGAAACAAAGAAAAAGTGATCTCAACAGATAGGAAACATGCTCATTATTTACCTTCTAGAGTCGGTGATGGTCAAGTTGTGGCAGGATCTAGTATCTATGTAGCGAAGATTTGCATTGCTCCATTTTGCACGGCCAAGATTTTCAGGGTATCTAAATTCCAAAGCTTCAGAAATAGAAGAAGGGGAAATCCATCTTTGCAGCAAACCATCCGTGTTCCTAGATAAGAATCAGAGTGGAAAGAAAGGGATCTAAGTTTCGGAAGCAGGCCTAGCGTTGGCATTGGATCATCTTTAATTTTAGAGGCCGATAAGGTAAGCTGGGTGAGGCTTTGCGGGAGTTGATTTATGATGACCTGATTTTCAAGCTTCCCAAACAAATGTAGGCTGGACAGATTCGTAAGGTGAGAGATGGTCTCTAGTTTCAGATGCTGAGGTGCCCTCTTCTCATCTATTGATCTCAGCCTCAAAGATTCTAGGTCAGTCAGTTTCTCAATCCATTTCGCCACTAGCATTTGCTCTGTAGGTGCAAGATTGAATACCAAAGCCAATTTTCGAAGTTTCGTCAACTTGTCCAGACAATCCTTGAGAGGATGGCCCTTCTCCACAAATAGGCCAGATAATATCATCAGATCTTTCATCGATATCATGAAAATTGGTCGATGTATTTGACAGTTCTCGTTCAAGTAGAGATGCCGAATTTTCTTCAGCTTCCATATTGAACTAGGGAGTGTTCTAACATGGGTATGCTTCAAATCTAGAGTTAAGAGTTTCACCAAGTCCCCAATAGATTCAGGGATCGTCAATAGGTAAGTTCGCCTTAATCCCAAATATGTCAGCTGCTTTAATTTTCCAATGGTCTCCGGCAACTTTGGTCTGAACACACGTTCAAGGTCAAGAGTCTGTAGTTTTCCGAAGAGACCACCAGCAATGCCCCTACTAATAATTTCACCTACTTCCTCTCCAGGTTTGATTTTTGCTCGGTCATCAAAGAAGAGAACCGATCGGGGAAAGCTTTCCTTCAGCAAAACATTTCGCCAATTTGTGTAGAGACCATGAATTTGACGGGAACTGGTATCGTATGTATTACCATCTTCAGAATCATGAAGGTTATAGTTTCCGTCTACATTACTTTTAGGAGAAGTTAGAGATGACCCTGAACCTGTTTCGCTGCTATTATTGTCGTTGCCACCTTGCAACAAGAGATGTCGCACAGCACTAGGCAAGCGACATATCTTGACCTTTCCATTAGGCTTTCTTTGAACCACTTGAACCACATTACGCCTAATCAACTCTGATAGATACGCGTATGCAACATTTTCAGGAATTTTTGTTTTCTCATCTCCGCTTACTTGTGCCAATCCTTGTGCAACCCATGAAGCGACAATTCTCCTTGCAGGGATTTCAAAGTCCTTAGAGAAAAGTTGGAAGTAAGACAAACATTTACTCAGAATTTCGTCGAATTGCAAGTCTGCATTATTCACTTGCACAGTATCCAACCACAGTGTTCGGTTCTGTCCTTGAGCGATACGCTCAAGCTCCTTCAAATATTCCTCTGGTGTCGACACTTCCTTCCACGACAGTATATACCCAACACTTATTATGGCAAGTGGTAAGCCTCCGCCTCTCCCTAAAACTTCCTTTGCATCAGTTTGCAGTTCATCAGGACAGTGATGCACTATCTGGGAAAAAAGATCCCAGCTCTCTTGTTTGGTTCGTAACCGAAGGTGGTGGTGAATGCTATTTTGGTCAGCATGTGACGCGATGGCCTTCTTGCATGTGGTGAGGACAATCCTGCTCTTGTTTGCCATTACTGGAAATGCTACTTTAAGAGCATCCCAGGTTTCCATTGACGAGACATTGTCTAACACTAGAAGGTATCTCGTCTCCTCCAAGAAATCCCTCACTTTCTCAATCCAGTAGTCTTCCCTGCCCTGCTTCTCTTGCGTCTTCAGGACCTGGTTTCCAACAGCTTCCAATAGTTCACTTTTGTCAAAAACTTGAGGTACGGAGACCCAACGACGGACTTGAAAAAGGCGCTGAATGGTAGGGTGGTTATAGACTTCCTTGGCCAGAGTTGTCTTACCAATTCCCTTCATCCCCACAATGGAAATCACAGAGCGCTCTTTTCTGTTAGAAGTCAGTTGCGAGACCAGTTCATATACGTTTTCTTCCAGACCAACTACTGAGCAAGAATCCGCCCTTACCTCAATCGAATATACTTTTATGCATCTCTGAAGAAGATTTACTGCGTGCGTGATTCCCTTAATCTCCGAGATGGTGGTTACAAGCTCTGAGCCTTGGATGCCGGAGGCCTTTGAGTACTGCTCTGCTTCACAAGTCAGTTTCTTCAATTGCTCCAAGTAAGCACTTCTAAACTTAGGGGCATAGGCTTCAGTGGGGTTTTTTTTTTTGGTTGAAGTCTTCAGTGGGTTTGGTAGCTTTGAAAAGTTTGTGCATGTGCTCCAACTCCTTGCTCATTGCGCTGACACACAACGATAACTCTTTGCTTGTTGGCCGCAATTGAATGAGCCTGTTACGAATGTTTTCTACAGCTGATGACAAATGCCTGTCCATATCCTGATACTCAACGGTTTGCTGTCGAGGAGATTTGCGGGCAAAATTTGAAGACCGTCCTGTGATAAATTTAAAACCATACCTTTCCTTTGTTTCCAGAAGGTCGGAGATCTTGGAGCCAAGGGACATTATTCCCCCCCTTGAGCTTCCGCCTAGCCCTCCAATTACGGCTGAAATATACCCACCACCACCATTTCTGTCGATTTGCTGCTATATTTATGTAGGCAATGTCATTTATTGCTTCCTCAACCGTCTTGCTTGCTTCCACCAACCATGACTTTTCCATTTCACTTTCCAGCTTTAGCGATTGTAAATCTTCCATGAAAAAAGGCAGCAGATCTACATGCATCTTGACGGATATCACTTGCTCCACCATGCCATCCATCAATTTTGAGTTTCCAATGATCAGCTCCATTAGGGAGGACACCAACTCAGCAGCTCTTAAGCTAACACACAGCGCTGGTGTCTGAACAGATTGATATTCATCAATCTCATCAACAACGGATCTGGCAAGCAGGCTTCTAACCTTGGACCTTGACTGCTCCAGTGTTGCGCGGATGTCCCTTGCGCATACTTCCTTGTTTCCTTTGCTACTCCTCCTCCTCCGGCTCATCCCAAGGTTGCTATTAATCATTTCCTCGATCCGCCTCATCCCACGGGCAACATCAAGCATGGGTAGCAGATGATTAGTTATTAATAAAAAAACAAACCACTTGGAAGATTTGCTTCGCTTTCTCAATTCTTCGAAGCTCTCAAGGCACCACGTTGCCTCCGAAACCACTTTTCTTGCATTCGTTATCCAGCTCTGCTCCGTTTCATTCAGTCGAAGAGTAATTCCTGCCTGGATGAGTTGTTCAGAATCCAAAAACTGACTGGCTTTCCGTGTGATTTGATCCTCTGACCTCAAAACTTCATCATAATCTTTTAAAAGAGCGCCTAAGAACCTGGATTCTCTTTCAATCCACTTGCGTTTCGTGTTCGAGTATGCAAAAGAAATTGCCCTTGCGACGCTGCAGAGAAGGTAAAAAACCAACAGGACGCAAGAGGTGACAACTACAATGGCCATGGGTTGCTCTTCTCTTCTCCTTTGTAGTTGGAATTGTCAAAATGTAGCTAGAACTTCAGTTCAAACAGATCAAGTTGCTCAGACACTGGCTGTTCCAATTATGGACATTGGTCAATGTCGTGGATAAAGCTTCTTAGATAAAGGTCCTATTTTTTCATTTTTTATTTTTTATTTTTTATTTTGCCAGAAGATACGAGTCCAATTTTATTAAAATAATAATAATAAATGGATGCAAGACATCAATTTTGACTTCTCAATAACAGCCTGTGGCCAGATGCTTCAATGCATTTGTCCTTCTTTTTTAACGTATTTACTTCCAGCGCCATTAAATAGAAAAAGAAAACCAAACCAACACATCCTAGTAGCAATCAAAGTTGTCTCCTACTACAATCATGCTCAGTCCATCTCAATCTCTGTAGATTTCTTTCTTCATTAATGGAGATTTTGTTAGGTATACAAATTTTATTCTCCAAATTAAACTGGGTTTAAAGAAAACTTGTATCAAAACGAAAATGAAAATCCCGTTGTAAAGTCGAGAGTGTAGCCCACACGTTAAGAAATAATCTATCGAAGAATGAAGACTTGTTGTCTTGAAGGTTTTTAAAATTTTATTTTAATGATTTGATTGTTTTCTTTTATTTATTATGGGAGTTACAATTGTTTAATTTTCAGTTTTTATTTTCTATTCATTGCCTTAATTTTTCTTATTTAATGCGTATGAAGGTTGCAAGTGTGGGATGCCTATAAAAGGCCACTCCTCCTTCACATTTGAAACACACTACAATCTGATTTCTCTCTTCTCCCACTTTCATACATTCTCTATGATAAAAATTTTAGAACCTGCGCAATAGGGTTAAAATCACTGAAAATACTTGCAAGAATACAAGCTAATTGTAGTATAAGTGCTCATGCAAGGTTGTTGTCCCCAAAGATTGTTTGACTAATTTGTAATTAAACTAACTCTTAATTAATAACTAAAATAGATTTTATCAAAGATTTGAAGTCTATGAATTTGAAAAGATTAAATTAATAGTAAAAGAAATCTGAAAGTTGGGAAATAATAACAACAAAGAAGAAAAAATATTTCTTTTTAAAGACTACCAATTTAGAGAAAACTAGGGTTTAGCCATCACTGTCGCAATCCTATGCAATTCTATCAATTACTTATGAATCTCCACATAAATGCTTTGAAGGTTAGGTTTTCCTAATGCATATTTTCCTTGTGATGTTCAAGCAAAAACATATATCTAACATGCAATCCGTCTATGATGTTCAAATCAAATATAAACATGCAAGACTCATTAAGCTTTGTGAAAACCCCTTGAAAAACCATGCAATCCTTAAGAGCGTGATGTTCGCCTTAAGTGAACTTACAACTACTAATCACAAGAAGCCCTCCTCAATTTTCAGGGTGATGTTCCAACAAAAATTGCATCAAATTACTTGTCTACATATCCTAATGGTGATCAGTCATTAAAATAGATAAATAATTTTAAACGCAGTGATTAGTAATTCAAAGCAAACATGCATCCATTCATAAGCAAATTAATAAAATTACATATTTATGCTAAGGCTTATGGCCTCGCCCTAGCAATAGAGAATTAGTTACACCTATTCATAATTGAAATCCAAAAAAATATCATTTGAATGAATAAGAATGAAAACACCTGAAAGTCACAAAAATCCAAAACCCTAGCAATTGCTCCAAAAGCCAAAAAGAAGTCCTAAAATTGTTGTGAGAAGGAGCTTAAATACCTCCTAAAACCTAGCTGCCCCTATCCCCACAAGGAAACTAAGTTAAAATAAAATAATACTATGAGATAAAGTCCAAATTGGATTAGGAGAATCTGCCCACAATCTGGTCAACCACGTTTTGGCCTCAAATCTCCTCTAAATCCGGCCCAAAATAGCTCGTTTTAAAGATAAAAATATTCTGAACATTTCTCCAGAAGCCCACGAACCCATCTGAGGTCATCTTGGGCTCCAAAAACGCAATAAAATCCCAAAATGTCACTATTCTAGAACCACGTACTGCTCCTTTATTTTATTGCCAGAAAATAACCGTTTGGTAGAAAAATCTGGAATTTCGATACGATCAAGCTAAGTGACTCACGTACGTCCTCCAACTGGAATTCCTCTAAAATTCATCCATTTGATTATGTTTTGCTCCAGAGGAAATCGAAAGTCCTATATTAGAAATATAATTCAAAGTATCAAAATTCTTCCAAAATATTAACCAAAATATATTAAGAATGAGGTTAAATATATAATATAAAATATACCCATCAAAATACCCCCAAACTTAGCTTTTTGCTTGTCCTCAAGCGAAACAAGACTCAAACAAAAATAAAAACTTAACAGACTAGACATATGGCTAACACTTAATCAGGACAAAATTTCCACCTTCAAGTTGCAATCCATAGCAAATGTTAAAAACTAGAACATATGTTCAATAGATCCAAGTAATCCCACCACAGAGTCTAAGCTATTTAGAATTAATTAGAAAAGAATTCACAAACTTCCTTCGGTGTAAAGTGAACCATCATGGTTAAGGAGACTCGACTAAAACCCTTACCTCTCATCCCTTTTATTCATACTTCACACTTTTTTTTTTATGTTTCTTTTTCAACTCTTTTTTTTTTTTTTTTTCTTTTTTTTTTTTCTTTTTTCTAGTAACAAAGATGAATATAGAGTATGGTGTGTGCAGAGGGTGGGTTTTGGGAGGGTGAGGTTTTTTGGGTAGAGCGAATTGATGTTGGAAACATAGGAGAAGGGGTAGGGTGAAGGCGCTGTAATTAGGTTAACTTTTTTATTATAAAAAAATCCGTTCTTGTATATGATTATTCTTTGTTATAGCTAATTGACGAAAATACCCTTAAACTTAATAGAAATTTTAACGGAGTTAGACGTAGGTGGTGAATGGCAACACTTTACAAAGTTCAGGTGGTTAAAAATAAAAATTAAAAGTTCAGGTGGTAATGACGCATATACCTGAAAGTTCAAATGGTATTTATGCAACTTTCCCTATTCTATTTGTCCATTATTTATTTCTAAATTTTTTACTTTCTTGTTAAACCTTTGTTTTATATATTATTTATATTTAAAAGGTTTTGAATTTGGGTTTTACGGAAAAGGAAAAACACAATTTTAATAACAATCTAAAGCTTTGTATGTTAAAATTATTCTTACCATATTTATTGTTGCAATAAGTTTCAATTTATTTTCCTTCTTATAAAACTAAAATAAAATAAATTTTTTGAAAAAGGACAGCTACACGTTTTTCAAAATCAAGACTTCAATCCAACTTTAAGGAAAAGTTTTCAAACCAATATTTAAACCTTTTGGTATGTATGTTTTGGAAGATATTTATGTTTTGGAAGATATTCAAAACCTTTAAATATCTTTTTAAAAAACTAAAGTTAAGTACACCGTTGAAAACTTAATAACGTATTTTTTTGAAAGTTGCTATTCAAAGCTTAATTAAGTACACCGTTGGATTTTTGTTATAAAAAAAAGAAAAAAGAAAGTACACCGTTGGAATATAAAATAATAATTGAAGTGAAATACCTTGTCATAAATTGTTTTTTTTTTTCTCTATTGTTTATTTTAAATAGACTATATTATTTATTACCAATTGTTTGATTTAAATTTCAACTTGTATTACATTTAAATTTCAGATTTTGTTGTTTCATTATTGTTTATTGGAATTGAGATGAATAATGTAGAGACCAATAATGTTAAACCTGGAAATTTTAATGGGACAAATTTTAAGAGGCGGCAAAAACAACTCAAATATTGGTTAATTATTTAGGACTAGTTTTTGCTTTAGAAAATCAAACCACACCTACTCAAACTAGTGAAACCAATTATAATGAAACAACTTCTAAAACTAAGCGCAAGATGACAAAAGAAGAAATAGAATATCATTGTCATAACAGAATCCTTAGTGCTCTCTCTGATAATTTGCGAGAATAGATCGTTTTACAATCTCAAACTTTAATAGTTATATGATGGTTGAGAATAAAACTGTAAGTGAACAAATTCATGAGTACCAAGATTTTTTGAGAAAAATAGAACTTAAGGGTACTAAGTTTAGTAGAGTTTAAAGTTTCTTGTCTCATTAATAAATTACCCTCAAGTTGGTCAAACTTTGCAACAACCCTTAGCCACAAACAAGGAGATTTAACCTCAACCCAAGTATTAAACTCCTTTAGGATTGAAGAGAAACATAGATTAAGTAACAAGCATGAGGAAAGAAAGATAAAGGTGAACCTAGTGGAAAGTTTAAACAATAGGAATCGTTTCCAATCTAGAAGGAAATTTGACAGACAGAAATATCCAACCCAATCATAACCAACTCAATCGAAACCAAAATCTCAAGCACAATAGACCCCATAATAATTCCAATGGCAATACGGATCAACCATGCTTCGTTTGTGAGAGAACAAATCATTAGGCCAAAGATTGTCATTACAAGAACACTGGGCCCTACAAGCCAAAGCCTAAGTGGAACAAAGGACAAAGGGGTTCTAAATCCCAAGTGAATATGTTGGTGGATCAAGAGGATCAAAATGAACTCAATCTAAGGTATAGTTTTAAACCTCTAGTTAATGTCACATATTTAAGTAATAGTGATTGGTGGTTAGATTTTGGGGTAAACATAGTGTGTTTTGACAAACGATTTTTCAAAAATTATCAGAACTCAAGTAGAGGAAGTGTAATCCTAGGAAATGATACCGTCGCACAAGTACGTGGAATAGGAGAACTGGAATTAAAGATGACATATGGGAAGACTCTAACTCTCAAGGATGTGCGACGTGTTCCTGACATGAGGAGAAACCTTATCAGTGGATCGTCCTTAGTACAACAATGATACAAAATTGTAATGGAGTAGAATATGATTATTATTACAAGAAACAATGTATTTATTGGAAAAGGATATATTTGTGATGGATTGTTCAAAATAAATGTAGTTTTTGAAGATAATAAAATTTCCCCTC